TCGCGCCGGGCCGTCGGCTCCGCCCTGCTGCGGCCCGGCGAGTCCACTGGGCGTGCGGCGCAGGGGCGTCTAGCGGACTGCGGCAGAGTCCCTGGCAGATCTCTCCAGCCCTTCCGGGGAAGCGCGAGCTCCGTGCCCTTATCCGGCTGGACTCTGGCCGGGCCTTCTCGGGAAGCGTCGCGCCGAGGGGCTTGGCCTGGAGGCGGGAAGTACGCGCGGGCGCAGTCCCCCGCGTCCCTGGCCCGTGGCGGGTGGTAGGCCCCAGTCCTTCATTTCCCGTGCGCCGCTTGGGTGGCCCTCCCTTTCCTCAGCGCCCTGCGCCTGCGAGTCTTCTCCGGTGTTACTGCGTCCTTGTTTGGCGTGTGAGTACCGCGGCCCTGCCGGAAGGAGCCGCGCGCGCCGGACAGGCCCCAGGGCCGGGAGGGCGGGGGCCCGGGCTCCAGCGCCCTTAGGGGCCAGGGCGCAAATCCCGACGGCGTGCCTGCCCAGGGGCCGTGGGCAAGTGCGCCTCCTGGGGCAGGCGTAGAGGGGCGGGGCCGGCGGCGCGCCCACGTGGCGGGGGCTCCTGCGGCGGTCGGACCCCGAAGGTGGGAATCCCGGCCGGGAGCCCGACCTCTGTGCCGGCTTCGCAGCCTCAGACTTAATCCTAGATGACAAGGATTTCCCTCCCGCTGTTTATCTGTCACCATTGCCTGTTAGACACCTGCAGGCCAGGCCCTCGTGGAACTTAGGTGGTTTACTAAGGACGCGCTGTGTACAGTGGGTCCCGGAAAGCACCGCAGGTTTTCTGGGTGGGACGAGGCCGAGCGTGGCCTCTGGGCAGGTGACTGAAGGCGGTCTGGAGAGTGGTGCTGTCGGAAGATCTGGCCGGCTTGTGCTGCGGGCGGAGGAAGGGCCCTTTCCTGACGGGGAAGGGGTATTGAAGCGGCATGGCACGTAGCTCAATCTGGGGGCACGCCCAGCCTGGCGCGGGGAAGTGCCAGGGCAGGAGCGGCCTCTGACTGTCACGTTGCATCCAGACTCCCCCAGCTCCGACCCTGGGTTGGAGGCTGCAGGTGGACGTCGCACTACCTTCTGTGCACCAGGCCTGAGTTAGGCGTCAGGGCGGGCTCCTCCTTGACGGGCGGCCCGGGCGCGGGCGGCGGGGGCTCGGCCTCGCCGTAGATGCGCTGGCTGGAGATGCCGTGGCGCTTCTGCCAGCGCCAGAACCAGCCGTGGCTGGCCTTGAACGTGCACTCGGGGCCGTAGATCTGGCGCGCGAAGGCCTCGGCCTGCGCCTGGATGAGCGGCCCCGACAGCGGCACGCCGTGCTGGCGCAGCGCTAGGAACCAGGCGTACACGGCGCGGTCGATCTCCTCCTCGTTGGCCAGCCGCATCTTCTTGCGCTGTGTGCCCACCTCGCCGCCCAGCTGCTCCAGGAACCAGCGCAGCTTGGGCTCGTCCTTGAGCCAGCCGCGCAGGGTGCCCCCGGGCACGCCGAAGTCGCGGCACACGCTGGCCTGCCGCTCGCCGCCCTTGACGCGCTCGATGGCCTGCAGCTTGTCCTTGATGGAGTAGGCCTTGCGGAAGGCCATCTT